GAGGGAGGGAGGGAGGGAGTGACGTATCGAGAGGGAAAGAGAAAAGGAGGGAGGGAGGAAGGGGCAACGCACCGCGCGCGAACGAGCCAAAGCAACATCGCATAGATGGCTCCGAGTCCTAGTTGGGCGATAGAGACTGTCCATGGCAAAGGCAGCGCATTCAGGACCTGGTAGTCGGTCAAGAGGGAGGGAAGGAGGGAGGGAAGGAGGGAGGGAGGGAAGGAGGGAAGTTGAGAGTGGATGAGAAATACGATGACAAACGAGTACGTCGGGGAAAGAGTATTTATGAACTTTGCTATACACAAAATAATTAATCAATAATAATAAATCAATAATAATAAACAAATCATAATCATTGCATAGCAACCCAAAAGGTGAGGGAAAAAAAATAAAAATGAAGAAATTGAGGGGATAGAGAGAGAGGGAGGGTGGGAAAGAGAAAGAGTGGGAGACAACCCCAAAGGTGAGAAACCAAAAAAAAAGAGAAAACGGGCGGGGGGAGTGGGAGAGAGGGAGGGTGGGAAAGAGAAAGGGAGGGAGAATGGGAGAGCCAAAGGGGGGGTAGAACTGGGCGGAGTCTAGCGCACTTGAGAAAGACATGAAGGTTTTTAAAACTCAAAATACGCACCTTTTTGTTGTAAATGTTAAAGGCGACGTTGAAGAAGTACCACAAGCTGATAAACACCCAGACTTTGGATTTTGCCCACAGCGTCCTCGTTCCTTCCAGGACGACCGCGCCCCCGCCTTTCTTCTCCGTCAAAGCGGCAGGGACATTGGAAGCCGCGGCATTTTGGGCAGGAAATACATTTTTACGCTTTGGGAGTAGAGGGTCGATGGATCCGGGGGAGAGGGAAGGGCAAGGCTGGGGTAAAAGGTGGCGTTTGCTGGTGGATAAGAAGGAGGAGGAGGACGGCCGTGCAACAAAAGACTCGGCCGTGACGACGAGAAGAAGGGTGGAGAGGAGGAGGACATACAGTGAAAGACGCATTATGATACCGCGAAGGATGGCGAGTTCGGTACTTTGAAAGGTAGCAATGCTCCTTGACTCGCAGATGACAGGATGGAGACGTGTCGTGAGCAGTGATGTCGAAACCCGTTGGTGTGACGGGAGTGGGAAAAATAAAAAAAATGAATCGAGAGAGCTTGGCAACAGTGTACTGCACAGATAGAAAAAGCAGCGAGCATTGTATACCATGCGTCATCCTCTGCGGTAATAGTACATTACACATATGAGTTTCGAGGGAAAGTAAGCTCGCACCCGTCGAAACCATGCCTGGCTTTCAGGAGGGACGACAAGAAATAAGCGACTTTTTACCATCACCACATCTTGTTCAGGCCTTCACGAGGATGACCGCAACAGAACATGTCTTTAGCATTGATTAGGTAAGACTCTGTGTCCTACATTCATGAACCTTGTAAAAAGAGAGGCGTGTGGTCGGTTTTCCCATCGACCCCGTTTTGTCCCCTCGATCCCCGACCTCCCGGCATATGGCCATGCTGCATTCCGACGTAATCCATCTCCCAACACGCAAAAAAACACCAAAACCCTGCCTGGAGGGCCGAGATAGCCTTCTAATCAGAAAAAAGAATGAGAGGTCGTAAAGACACGGCGTTGGGCTGGTGATTTTATCGAGATCGGTTGCGTCTCCTCTTGCAGATTGAACGTTGGTATTGCAGAGAAAAGGGAGGAGAGCAGTCCCATGTTGTAAAAATAAATTTAAATCCGAAAAGATTGTGTTACGGACGTCCCAAAAACACAGAAAAGCGTAACACATCCTTCATCGGTAAAGTATACACAGAAGGCAGCAACTTGTCGAAAGATGCTTTTTTGGGGGGGGCTTGGAAGATGCAAAAGCGGGGGGTACCCAGACTTTTTGCCTCAGGCCTCAACTTTTGGTCTTTACCCCCCTGCCAAACTCAGGGCCAGCCACCATGGTGAACATCAAGGACGGTCCGCAATTCATCCCTCACACGCAAACCAACCTATCGTACACACCTCACGACGTGAAATGGATTCCATGCTCTGCGCGTCTTGTGTCGGTGGGGGCGACGGCAACTGGAAAAGGAAAGCTGGAAATATACGCGCTGAGTGGAGGAGCATTGAAAAAGACAGCGGAAACAGGTTAGTTATGACAAATTTGATAAGCAGAGACAATATCGTGAGATTTTAAAATGGGAGGAAGGCTTTAAGTTGTGTCTGGCGGTGGTGGTCTCCATAATGGCCCCGTATGCAGGATTTGACTTTCGTGGCATTTCTTTTCCTGAGTGCCCCATATTGAACTCTTCAAAGCCCTTTCCGTTTCCGTATTCCTTATTGCCTGTGAGAATCAGTGCTAGGTCCGTATAGGAATCTGGCGTCTCTACTTTACGAGCACCTGTCAACTTTTTTTTTTCCATTCTCTGCTTTATCCATTTTGGGGTTGACTCCCACGCCTTCCATCGATCCAGTCCACGCACAGAGCCTTCGATGTGCCACGTTCGGAGCAGCAACGCTGGAGGAGAGGAAACTCGCGACTGGGGATTGGAACGGGGACCTGTGTGTC